CTGGCTGCTCTGCCTGACTCCACTGTGGCACTCCTGAGAGTTTCAGGACACTGTCTCTAACACGGCCACTCTTGCTTCCACTGTGGGAATACACTGCTCATTTGCTGTTGTATATATTTTTTGAATACAGACTTCATATCTTAGAGCAGTTTTAGGTTCACAGCAAAACTGAGCGCAAGGTGCAGAGATTTCCCAAATTTCCCCTGCCCCCCACCTCCCCCACTATTGGCATTCTGCGCCAGGGTGGTCCGCTTACCACAACTGATGAAGGCACATGGGCCCATCATTATCACCCAGAATCCATAGTTAACACTGGGGTTCGCTCTTGGTGGTGCACATTCTATGGATGTGGGCTTTACCCATCATTGTGGTGTCACATACAGTATTGTCACTGCCCTAAAAATCCTGGGTTCTCCCTATTCATCCCTCTGCCCCCCAACTCCTGGCAACCACTGATCTTTTTTTTTTTTTTTTTCCGGTACACGGGCCTCTCGCTGTTGTGGCCTCTCCCGTTGCGGAGCACAGGCTCCGGAGGCGCAGGCTCAGCGGCCACGGCTCACAGGCCCAGCTGCTCCGCGGCATGTGGGATCTTCCCGGACCGGGGCACGAACCTGTGTCCCCTGCATCGGCAGGCAGACTCTCAACCACTGCGCCACCAGGGAAGCCCAACCACTGACCTTTTCACTGCCTCCACAGTTTTGCCTTTTCCAGAATGTCGTATAGTTGGAATCATACAGTTTTGTAGCCTCTTCAGATTGGCTTCTCTCACTTCGTCATATGCAGTTGAGTTTCTTCCACGTCTTTTCACGGCTCGACAGTTCATTTCTTTTTAGCACCAAATAACATTCCACTGTCTGGTTGTATCTCCTGAAACCCATCTTGGTTGCTCTCAGGTTTTGAATAAATTATGACTAAAGCTGCTATAAGCATCTATGTGCAGGTTTTGATGTAGACCTAAGATTTTAACGCCTTGGGTAAACACCAAGCTGCATGACTGCTGAATCCTAAGGCAAGAGTACGTTTGGTTTCGTTAGAAACTGCCCAACTGCCCTCCAAAGTGGCTGCACCTCCATCAATGATGAGAGTTCCTGTTGCTCCACAACCTCACCAGCACCTGCTGCCGTCAGTGCTCTGAGTTTGGTCATTCTGATGGGTGTGTAATGGTATTTCGGGGTTTTTTTGTTTGTTTGTTTTTGGCCACGCCTCACAGCTTGTGGGATCTTAGTTCGCTGACCAGGGATAGAACTCGAGCCCTCGTCAGTGAAAGCTCGGAGTCTTAACCGCTGGACCGCCATGGAATTCCCTCTCATTGTTGTCTTAATTTGCATTTCCCTGAGGACCTATGATGCCGAGCATCTTTTCATGTGTTTTTTTGCCCTCTGACTATTTTTTTGATGAGGTGACAGTTCAGATCTTTGGCCCATTTTTTTAATCAGCTTGTTTATTTCTTATTGTGAAATTTTAACAATTTTTAACAATATTAAATTTTTAACAATGTATATTTTGGACAACAGCCCTTTATCATATATTCTGTACATATCTTCTCCCAGTCTCTGGCTTATCTTCTCATTCTCTTGACATTGCTTTTCATAAAGCTGAATTTTATATTTTTAATGAAGTGCACCTTATCAGTTCTTTCTTTCACAGATTGTCTTCTTTGGCGTTGTGTCTAAAAAGTCATCACCGTACCCAAGGTCATCTAGGTTTTCTCCTATATTTTCTTCTAGTTTTATAGTTTTGCATTTTAGATGTACGTCTGTGATCCATTTTTGAGTTAGTTTTTGTGAAGGGTGTAAAGTCTGTGTCTAGATTCCTTTTTTTTTTTTTTTTTTTGCATGTGGACATCCAGTTGTTCCAGCAGCATTTGTTGAAAAGACTATCTTTGTTCCATCGTACGACCTTTGTCCCTTTGTGAAAAATCAGTTGATCACATTTATGTGGGTTTATTTCTGGGTTCTCTGTTCTGTTCCATTGATCTCTATGTCTTTTCTCTTGCCAATTAAGTCTTGAAGTTGGGTAGCGTCATTCCTCTAACTTTGATCTTCTCCTTCAATACTGAGTCGGCTCTTCTAGGTCTTTTGCCTCCACATAAATTTTAGAATCAGTTTTTCAACATCCATAAAAACAACTTGCTGAGATCTTGATGGAGAGTGCACTGAATCTGTAAATCAAGTTGGGAAGCACCGATATTTTGACATATTTGAGTCTTCCTACCCATAAACATGGCTTGCTTTCTTTTATCAGAATTTTGTGGCTTTCCTCATATAGATCTTGTACATATTTTGTTAGCTATATAAGCATTTCATTTTGGGGGATGCTAATACATCTTCAATTTCAAATTCCACTTGTTCATTGCGAATATATAGGAAGGTGATTGACTTTTGTATATTAACCTTGTATTCTGTTACCTTGCTATAATAGTTTACTAGTTCCAGGAGTTTTTTTGTTGATTCTTTCATTTCTTCTACACAGATGACCATGTGTTCTGTGAACAAAGAAAGTTTTATTTCTTCCTTCCCAGCCTGTATACCTCTTACTTCCTTTTCTTGCCTTGTTGCCTTAGCTACGACTTCTAGTATGATGTTGAAAAGGAGTGGTGACAGAGGACATCCTTGCCTTGTTCCTGATCTTAGCAAGAAAGCTTTAAGTATGACGTTAGCTGTAGGGCTTTTATAGACATCCTATATCAAGTTTAGGAAATTCTCCTCTATTCCTAGTTTATTGAGGGTTTTTATGATGAATGAGTATTAGATTTTCTCAAATGCTTTTTCTGCATCCATTGATATGATCATGTGCTTTTTTCTTATTTAGCTTACTGATGTGGTGGATTACATTAATTGATTTTCAAATGTTAAACTAGCCTTGCATACCCGGGAAAAATCTCACTTCATCGTGGTGTATAATTCTTTTTATACATTGTTGAATTCAATTTGCTAATATTTTGTTGAGGATTTTTACATCTCTGTTCATGAGAGATACTGTACTTTTCTTGTAATGGCTTTGTCTGGTCTTGTCACTAGGTAGGTTAACGCTGAATGCTGGTCTTAGAGAAGGAGTTAGGAGGTATTCCCTCTGTTTCTATCATCTGGAAGAGACTGTAGAAAACTGTTATCTCTTCCTTAAATGTTTGGTAGAATTCACCAGTAAATCCATCTGGCCCTGGTAACTTGTGTTTTGGAAGGTTTTGTTTTTTGTTTTTTGTTTTTTTTCATTTTTGGTTGTGTTGGGTCTTTGTTGCTGCACATTGGCTTTCTCTAGTTGCAGCGAGTGGGGGCCACTCTTTGTTGCAGTGCACAGGCTTCTCACCGCGGTGGCTTCCCTTGTTGTGGAGCATGGGCTCTAGGCATGTGGGCCTCAGCAGTTGTGGCACACAGACTCAGTAGTTGTGGCGTGCGGGCTCAGTAGCTGTGGTGTGCGGGCTCAGTAGCTGCAGCTCGCGGGCTCTACAGCACAGGCTCAACAGTTGTGGCGCACAGGCTCAGTTGCTCTGCGGCATGTGGGATCTTCCCAGACCAGGGCTCGAACCTGTGTCCCCTGCACCAGCAGGCGGACTCTCAACCCCTGCGCCACCAGGGAAGCCCATGGAAGGTTATTAATTATTAATACAATTTCCTTAATAGCCCTACTCAAATTGTTTGTTGTATTTTTTGAGTTTTTTCTTTTAAGATTTTTTTGATGTGGACCATTTTTAAAGTCTTTACTGAATTTGTTACAATATTGCTTCTGCTTTAAGTTTCTGGTTTTTTGGCTGTGAGGCATGTGGGGTCTTAGCTCCCTGATCAGGGATCGAAGCCACACTCCCTGCATTGGAAGGCGAGGTCTTAACCACGGGACCACCAAGGAAGTCCCGAAGTTTTCTTTCTCTTTTTTCTTTCTTCCTTATTTTATTTTAGAAACGATGGTTGAGTTCATGTAAGTTAAATGCATATGGGCTGTGTCTCCTCTGGAAATAAACTGTTGGTGATCTTGGGGATGGCTCAGCTGGCTGAAGACCAGCTACCAGACAGCCCCTCCAGGATTCTGCGGTGAGGCCTATGGGTGCATGTGTATGTCCTCTAGCAGGTTCTTGGAGTCTGGGAGGCCGCCTGCCTCTCCCCAGCTCATCTCTCTTTGTATCTCTGCCACTTCCCAGGTTCCAGGAAACCGTCTTTCCTGAGAGCTTGCGTTTCTGTATTATTCTGGAGCCCCTCAGCAGGAAATTCTCCAGGGCAGATGCAGCCCAGCAAGACTGAGCCCTGAAGAACATGGTTCCCCTGGGACTTCACAGCCTTGGGCCGGCTCCCACCTCAGGGTGTTTACACATGCCTTCCCTTTACGCGCAGCCCTCTTCCCCCAAGATCTCCATGTGGCCTCCCACTGCTCAGGAAGTGCCTGGCTTAAAGGACACCTTCCCCTGGAAGCCTCCCCTACCCTCTCCCATCTGCTGCAACCCTCCACTTCGGCCTCCTTCTTATGTCACTCTTTCTTTTCCTCCTCGCATGTGTTACTACCTACAAGTCAAATCTGTGAGCCTCTAAGTCTGCTCCCATGGGCCGTCAGCTCACGAGGCAGGGCCTTACCTTATCCCTGGAGAGCCTAGACCCCAGCCTGACCCAGAACAGGCGCTTAGCCACTGTTTGGGAATAAATGGATGATTCCTGGCTCCCAGCAGGCCTCACGTGGTGCCCCGGCCTGACCCTGCCCAGACCAGCTCTGGGGGTCCTAGTGTCAGCAATAAGGCCCTGCACGAGAGGGCCTTGGAGATTTCCCTCTCTGCGTACAGGCTGCTCCAGGGTGGGGAGGGGCCTGACCTGCTCCCAACCCCAGCCCCCTGCCCAAGAAGACACACCCTCTCCCCAGAGCCAGGCCTTAAGTCCGCAAATGGAGCTTTCCAGAAAACTGAAGCCATGCATAGGGCGGGGAGTGCACAGCCCAGCTCCCAGTTGCTGTGGGAGGTCCCAGGAGGAAAGCCAGTGACAGACCCCCCTCGCTGCCCGGGCGCCTGGCGGCGTGAGACCTACATGCGGATCTGGGTGTTTTTCAGGGTGAAGCTCAGCTCTTCCAAGGCCTCCTCCATCTCCTGGGTGTTCTGGACCAGTGAGAGGTTCTGCTCTTCCAGCTTCACGAAGACATCCAGGAGCTGCTGGGGCTCCGTGAAGTACAGCTGCAGCTCCTGCAACCAGAGCCACGTGGAGCTGCTGGACGGCGTGGGCCCGGCTCCTGCAGCCCCCGCCCAGAGCGGGCACTGACCTCCCCGTCGCTCTCTGGGTCCTCCTGCACGGGGAGGGTGGAACAGGCCCTGCGGAGACACGGGGTCGGGGAGGCCTGAGGGCGTGACACCCGCCCCTCGCCCCCTCCTCTGTCCCTCAAGTTGCCGAGAAGGTGGCGCTGGGCTCCTCTCGGCCCCCAGCTGTCACACGGCAGCCAGGGGGAGAGGGTCAGCACCCAACTAGCTCCTCTCATTCCAGTCAGACTACAGCTCGCACCCTCGGGGCCTGTGAGCCCCCATCCCAAGGCGGCTCTGCCCCTCCCCACCAGCTCCTTCCCGCACTCCGGGTGCTCAGCAGCTGTGCACCTGCGGCTCCCCATTCACCGTGCGCCTCTTCTGCCCACCTCCTCTGTCAGATTCGGCCGTGCCACGTGTCCTTGCTGGTCCCACGCACAGCTGTTGTGACACGCATGCCACGGGGCAGGGACCAGGCTGGGCGGGCCCAGAGGCCACAGGAAAGGCTGCTTGGGCCGCGACACTGCAGGGGGCCCTGGACCGACCTCAAACCTGCTTTCGTCACCCCTCCTGGCCTGCTCCAGCCTGCACCCTATGCAGACACACAGGTTCTGCTGGCCCCGCGGCTGGCGAGGGTGGCTTGCAGCCGGGGAGAGCTGGGCCGAGGCCTGAGAGACTCCAGGCCCCGACCATCGTGAAGTACAGAGATGACAGCGCAGGGCCCACGCCGACAGCTAACACACTCCCAGGCCTGTGCCCCACCCCGTTTGCACATTGATGCCCATTCGGCAAATGAGAAACATGCTCCTCAGAGAGCCAGTCACCTGCCGAGGTCACTCTTGGCCCAGAAGGTGCCCTTCTAAGAATCCTCCTTCCAGGAAGACAGAGCCTGGGGCTGGGCTGGGCTTTAGCCCCCACTTGCCCTCTCGGCCAAGTGCCTCATGCAGCCCACAACCTGCCCACACGTGCTCAGTGGCCCTGGTCACATGGCTAGTAGAGGGCGGGGCCCAGACCTCTGTTCTCAGGGTCTGTCCCGACAGGAGCCTGTTGCTGGGAGCTCCAGGGCTGAGGGCAACGTAGGGCAAGGAAGCACACACATGTAACTTCTTCAGCTGGAAACAGCACCCCCGACAGGGGTTCCTGGGACCAGAGTTAACCTGCTGCACGTGCGTGGCTTGTGCAGTTGGTGATATGTCCACAACACTACAGTATCAGAGAAGAAAGTAGCAGAAGACCCGAGTGCGATCATGGCAGTGCTTTGCTGAAACTTCCTGGCCTCTGCAGCCCTGGCCCCGAGGGCAGGTGCTGGAAGCGGAGCCAGGGCTCCAGCTTCGCCTGGCTGCTCAGGGCCCCAGTCCCCTCCCCGCTGCGTGGGCAGCTCTGCAGGAGGGGCCGGGGTTTGGGGTGGCTGGGCTGGAGGAGCGAGGGGACATGGAGGAGGGAGTGGGGCAGGAGGTCTGTCCCGTTGTCACCTGTCACAGCTGGAGAACAGCGGGCGTGGGGGGGTGGAGGGGCACTGCAGGAAGAGACCCAGGAGAGCCCGGGGGGCTTGGGGGTCCCAGAGGTAGAGTGTCGGAGGGACCATGGGGCAAGTCACCGGGTCTGAATCTGTCTGATTTGCTTGTCCCTTACCATATTTTTTAAAAGACTTAAAAGTAACTGTCACAGTTAAAATTTGGGACTTCCATATGAAAATCCAGACTTCCTGATTCTCTTGAAAGGCTCAGAGGCTCTGCCAGCCGCCAGCCGGCGCTCCTGCCACAGAGGGCGTGGGCAGGTGCGTCCTGTCCCAGGCGCCCACCTAGCTGCTTCATCTGTGTACCTTTGACTGTCCCACCAGCGCCCAACTGGGCCACCCCAACTCAAGTTCACCAAATCAGACAAAAAGAAAGTTTTGCTTGGGAAACATCTCGCTTTTCAGGCTTAAGTCTGACTCCAGACCGTCCAGGCTAGAAACAGCCCCTCCTGACCCTCTCACCCCGGCTGGGGTGCCCCGGCCGGAGCCACTGGGGGCCGCTCCACAGCAGGCCAGTCACCTCCATCGCCCACCCCCCACCAAGCCCACTCACCTGGGGTCCAGCCTGACAGGCCCACTGGGCTGGGGGCCCCCCTGGTGGCTGACAGTGCTGGGCGGGACCTGCCTCAGCTGCGGCACCTGCAGGAGCTTGGTGGCCTTCTTTGGGCCCTGCTCCTCTAGAGGAAGCAAAGGAGGGCTGTCCATCTGCCCCAGCCCGGAGCAGGGCCCCTCCAACCTGGGGCAGCCACATACCTCTGAGATCCGTCTGGCCCTTGATCTCTGGTCCTACAGGAAGCACGGGAGGACTCTCAGATGGCTCAGGGGCACAGAGTTCCCCAGGACCCTCCCCGAGGTCCCCCTCAGCGGCAGGAGGAAGGTTTGCTTTGAGAGCCGGCAATTCTCCCAGGAGTGTGTGGGCTGAACCCGGTGGGGGAGCTCTGCGAGCAGGGGAAGGGGCCTGGAGCCAGCTGGACACAGGCTCTAGGGGCACCCGGCACGCCCTCTCTCTCCTGCTACCTTTGTCCCCGAGTGTAGAGAACAGCACGTTCTCCTTGGAGGCCTCGACCGCCTCCCTGGTCCTTGTGAGAGCTAAGCGCTTTCTCTCCTGTCCCTCCAGCCACTCCTTGGGCGACAGCTTGTACAGGAAATCCTTGTAGATCTTGTAACGCTGCAGAGTGTCTTCAAATTTGGAGATTTCACTAGACCCGGGAGGGGACAGGCGAAGTCAGGCTCCGTCCCTGGGCCCCTAGGAGGGGAGGCCGGGCCCAGAGCTCCCAGGCCTCCCCCGAAGGACAGGCGCCGGAACTCCGTGTGCGGGGAAGGAGGCCGCCCTGCCGGGACCAGCGCGGCTCACACCCCCTGAGTTGCAGCCGCTCTCAAGGTGGAGCGAGCCCTGCCCCGGTGGTGTGGCCTCAGGAAGGCCCCCGACTCTCTCCTGGCCTCGGTCGCCTCATCTGAAAAAGCCCCACAGGGCTTGGGGTCCCTAGAGAGCAGAGGCTCAGAGGTGTGTGTTGTATGGGGCTCCTCTGGCTCCCGGAGATGTGCCGGCCCGGACGGCGCAGGGCCCGGCTTGCCGCCTGACCTCACCTCTTGATGATCATGATCTGGGTGGTCAGATCGCGGATCTCGAGGATCGTCTCCATCTTCGCTTTGGTCTCCTTCTCAGCCCTGGGGGTGGGGCGGGGAGGAAGCCAATCACAGGGTGTGCAGGAGGGGTGTGCACTCTGCCTTCAGTCAAGGCGGGAGGCTGGGGAGCTGCCAAGGAGGGGCCTGGCTGGCTGGGTGGTGGGTGTGCACAGGCTGGGGTCCGGGCAGCTCACACTCTCAGGGCCTGCAGGGAGCTGCGGTCGTTTTCCCTGAGGAACTCTTCAAATCGAGCAGCGTCCTTCTCCAGAAACTTCTCCGCCCGCTCCAGCTCGGCCTCCTCCTTGGCCGCCAGCCTCTCCAGCCGCTGGATCTCATTCCGCTTCATATCCAGGGCGTACTGAGAGCACCGAAGCGGGAGTCACGCTCCGCACAGGGACAGCCCGCTGGGCCCGCGGGGCAGCCAGCCTACCTGGAGGAGGAATGTTTGCCGCTTCTGGGCGATGTAGCTGTGTATGTTATCAGGTTCCATCTTCCTTTCTGCAACAAGAGGCACAAGGCATCTGGGGCGGGCAGGAAGTGGGAGAGAGACCCAAGCCTGCAGCCTTGGGTAGGCATAGCCAGGCAGTGCGGAGCCGGCCTGCCGGCCTGGTGCTACACCTGGCTGTGAGGCCCAGATTACTACAGGGATTGCGAGAGAGCCAGCTCTGGCTCCAGCAAAAGGAAAGCAGGCTCTGCTGACATAGTACAGCCTCCATGGCTAGAGACCGGCCAGGTGGGAAGTCCTTCCGTATGTCTGACTCGAGTCTCTCTTGCTGTAGCACCCTTCTCACCTGGAATGAAGCTCTGGACACGCCCACCCTGGAAGTTTTACCTGGCTGGACTTAATAATGAAAGGTCTATCGGCCAGGACAGTGAGAGAATGGGGGCGGTGAGAGAAAGATGGGGCAGCATGATCTCTCCTTGGGGTTCCCTAAGCACACAATGTGGGCAGCAGCTAAGTCTACCCTGGCAGGGTTTCAGCCAGGTGGAAGTTACGTGTACCTTCCAGAACACAAGCAGGGAGGCACCGCAGTTGGGCTCAAGGCCCATGCGGGCCTCCTTCCCTGCCTTTCTGGAGAGGAAGGCCTCCAGCTGTGGATGGAACCGTGGGGCTCTCGGCCTTTTCCCTCAAATCCTCTCCTTTCCCGAAGAAGCCGGTGTGGTACACGAGTTCCATTTTCAGTCTTGAGGTCTGGCCTGGCCTCCCCGGGCTCCTCACTGGAAGTCAGACCTGCTGGGTCCAGCTTTCCCCACCCAGATGCCACCTGCTGCTCCCAGGTCTCAGAAATGGACAGTGAGGCAGAGACAAAACACATGCAGCGCTGCTTCCCTGGTGCAGAGCTCCACACACAAAACATCCAAGCAAGCTCAGGGCTTCCTACCCAAAACAACAAGCCTCGGGCGTCAGGGGTAGAGGCTGGCGGTCTCTCCACGCTCAAATTCACATTCAGGGCCCCTGTAGCCCATGGGGTCCAGGGCTCTCTGATCTCAATTGCTTCTTTCTAGTTTACTGGTTTATATTTCACTGGCAGGGTATTAGTGCATTTTTAGTACTTCAGATTTCCTACAGGGTCATAAAAATAATAACAGGTCACACACACACATAGCTCCCTCTCAGTACCTGCAGTGTCTGAAGACATTGAACCTGACCACCCATGAGGCTGGTACTGTTACCAGCCAGGAGCGGAAGCTGCGGTACAAAGCTGACTTGTCCAGGACAGAGAAGCCATTCAATGCTGAAGCTCAAATGCTCGCCACCAAGGGAAGTGCCTACATTTTATACATTGTCCAGCCTGCGTTCACTGTGCAGGTCAGCATTCAGAATGCGTGCAATGTTGGGATTCAAAGGCTTTTAGAGCAGCAAACCATGTGGAATTCATCCTTGTACCCCGGGAGGCAAAGGTCAGGCACAGAGAAGACCCCGGCCACACACGCACACTGCACCACAGCCCCGCATCTCCCGAGCCCTTTAAACGCACTGCTCAGACCGCAAGGGCGAAGATGGGATTCTGGGGCGTCATGGCTGGGGGGCGGGGGGCGGGGCGCACCTCGGGTCATGGAGAGCTTCCAGGCCGTTTGCTCGTGGAAGATGCGTAGCTGCTCTGCACGCGCCCCCTGCTCCGCCACCTCGTCCTCCAGCTGCAGCTCGCGCCGCAGGCTGGCGTGCTTGGCCGCCACGTTGGACGAGTAGGTCATCTTCTCGTGCACCCGCAGCTGCTTCTTCTGCTCCCGATCCTGGGGTGGGCGGTGTAGGGCAACGGGGTCGGGCGGGGCCGGCCACCCACCCCTCTCCCGCCCACCAGCCCTCTCCTCGGCGCCCTGTCCGGGGCGGCGGGGGCTTCGGAAGCGCGCACGCTGCGGAGGCGCGCACGTGCGGAGTGACTTGCGGAGAAGACCCTGGGGCTGTGAGCCTGCGGGAACTGCTCTGGGTACCTGAGCACAGCTGCCCAGCGGTTGACAGGGAGGCGGGGCGCCAGATGAACCACAGGATGCCAGCTCAGATACGCATTCCAGATCAGTGGTGCAGGGACACACTCACTAGACATGATCCTCGTTTGTCTGAAGTTCACACTTAAACTGAGTGTCTTGTATTGTGATTTGCTAAATCTTGACAAACCGACGTTGAGGGAAAGTAGATCCTCGGAGTTTCCAAAAGAAACTGGAAATCCCAAGTTTGATCTGCAAGCTCCCTACTCACTGTGGGCAGCCCGTGGTCACGTGCGGGGCTCTGCACCTCCCGACCTATTCTCCACCCTGCATGGCCTCTGGCCAGCCACCCCCAGGACTGCATCCGGCCCCAGCCCTTCACTTGGGAGGGTCTCAGGATAGGGTGGGGTGAGGGACTCTTCTTCCCGAGGCCTAGTGCCCAGCCCCTCCTGCTGTCCAAGCCCTAGGGATCTTGCTGGCTCAGGACCCCGACTGCCCGATCAGATAAGCCCTCACGTGGGTCTTCATTTGGCTTCCCCTGGTCAAATTCTACTTCCTGCTGGCCCTGCTGCGTGCAACACCTATTCCACCTCTAGCCTGTGGCGGGACCCTAATTTGCACATCCGTGTACAATGAAGTTAGGAAAATGTCACCCGCTAGAATTCCAGTGGCAGGAGGTCTGCAATTTAAAGACACTGGGCAGCTGCTTGGGGTCAGTGTGAGGAGGTCGGGGCTGTGCTGGGTAGAGGAGTGTGAGGTGGGGACAGGGGCTTTGGAAGGAAGGCAGAGGCTCCCTGAGGCTGCGTCAGGCAGGGAGAAGAATGTCCAGGCTGTGCTGGCACTGGTGGAGAAAGGGGAAGTCCTGTGTGTGCGTGTTGCCATGAGTGCCGCTCAGAGTGGCTCTATGTCTCTGTCGCTCCGCCTTCCAGGCAGGAGGTGGGGAACACCGATGGCACCGCCTGGATCCTAGGCACAGGGGTGGGGCTGGAGGACCTGCATGTCCCTGTGTGTCCTTGGTCCTGGTCAGGGTCACAGAGGGAGCCACTGCTCTAAGGAATCTCAGATGCTGAGCCCTGAGTTGGGGTGGACACAGTCAGCCCATGAGGGAGCCCGGGACGCAGGCCTTGCCTGTGCATGTGAGAGTATGTCCCAGAAACACGGCCTGGGGCGTGTGTGTGTGTGTGTGTGTGTGTGTGTGTGTGTCTGGCCTCCCAGAATTCCAGTGAGGGGGACTGTGCAAGGTTAGAGCATGCAGGGGGTTTCCTAGGGCCTTGAAGGTCAGGGAGAGTCTCAGGAGGGGACAGCACCTCATGCAGGGGACAGCAGAAGTTAAGGCATGTTGGCTGAGGCTGTAGCCACAGAAACTCCCCCAGCCTGACAACAGCCCAGGAACAGTGGTGATGAAGCTGGTAAGACAGTGGGACAAGAGACCTGGGGCCAGGCAGTTGCGAGTGGTTTTCATCGCAAGCGGTGAGCCATTGACTATTCCAGAGTGAGACAGTGACCTGAGCAAAGGGCAGTGTGGCTGCTGCCGTGTGAGGGAGGAAGGAGCTGCGGACAGGCTACTCCTCGACAGATACTCACTGATAGAGACTTATTCCGCTCCTGGTCTCTGAGCAAGAAGAAATCCAGGTCCCCAGACACATGGAAAGGATTGGCTGACTGGTCGGGAACAATTGCAGATCCTGGGGAGGGAGATGCCTCGCTGGAGAAACAAGCCAGCTCTTCCATCCGGTGATCTGGGCCTCTGGGGTCCCGGCACCCTCCCAGCCCAGCAAGGGAGCTTCCACGAAAGCACAAGCGAGCAGCGAATGTTCTCTTGGATCCAGCTGTGCCTGAAGTCCACCCCTGCACCTTCCAGCTCTGGTTTAACCTGTTTGGACTCGGGCTTCTGTCCCTGCCATCTGAAAGAGACCTTGTGAACACAGACCTTCCTGTGTCTCAGACCTGTGCTATGTTCCTGGCCCTCTGTCCTCTCTCGCTGAAAGTCTCGGGAACCCCCAGTCCATAGGGGAGAGAAGCTCCACCTGTCCTTTGTAAGTGATGGAAGCAGCTGACCCTGGAGCTGAGGCACCTGCCTGCAGGGGGCAGGGGGAGCCCTGCGCTTTGTCCTTGCAGGGGTCTCCCTGAGCCTCCCAGGGGAAGGCTGAGCTTGGGAGCTGGTGAGGGCAGAGTGCCTGAAGTCGGGGAAGGCAGGGCAGGAATCTGGGACGTGAGGGCTGCCAAGGACCCCAGTCCTGCTGCCTCCCTCCCAGTAGTAAGGGGGAGATTCCCACAGCACAGCCCACCGGTGTCAGAGAAGATGGAACCCAGGGCACCAAACTAAGGGCTCAAAACTATGGTTGCTTCTTCCCCCACTACCCTTGATTTAGAAGAAACAGGGTTTATTGTTAAAAAAAGAAAATCTCGGGCTTCCCTGGTGGCGCAGTGGTTGAGAGTCTGCCTGCCGATGCAGGGGACACGGGTTCGTGCCCCGGTCCGGGAAGATCCCACATGCCGCGGAGCGGTTGGGCCCGTGAGCCATGGATGCTGGGCCTGCGCGTCCGGAGCCTGTGCTCCGCAACAGGAGAGGCCACAACAGTGAAAGGCCCCGGTACCCCAAAAAAAAAAAAAAAAAAAATTCGAAAGTAAAAGAAAATATCATATATAAAAAAGAACTCCTCCATTTTAAACAACTGCTGATAACATTTCTGGGGGTATTGTTTTCCTAATACTTTTCAATACACATTTTTCATAATTCTATATCTTCCTTAAAAAGAAACACTTTAAAGTTACTAACTCTTTGTGGACAGCATAAGGAAATATTAAGGGCTACCGTAACTCACTGCTTCACGCGGCACACTCACATGGCAAATGCGGGCCCCACGGCACCGCCCTGGACATCCTGAGTCCTCCACTGCGCCATCACTGACTGGCCCTCGGAGTGACTTTCCGAAGGGAGGCTAGAGGGCTGTGAGCAGTTTCCAGGCTTCAGGGACTTAGGTTGACCTGCCTTCCTGGAGGTCGGTCCCATTTTACGCCCTCACCCCCAGAAAGAGGATGCCGTTAAAGGGACATGAAGTTATGCCCTGAGAGTCTCAAAGCACCTCCACACAAGACATGTGTCAGTTCCCGCAGCGAAACGAGCTTGCAGTGGAGAAGCCTGGCAGCCTCCACACCAGCCCGGGTGAGAGGAGTCTGCATCCTGACCCCGGACGTGCCCAGGACGCGCATCCCTCATGAGGAGGGGTCAGAGAAGCCTAAACACGGGCACGCTACAAATTTTTTTTTCAACTTTTCTGTAAGGATTAGCTCCTATCAGAAAAGAGTTTTAAAAACTGAGTTGTGCTCAGGCTGAGAAGAAGAGAGAAAAATTATCTGCTCCTGGCCCCAGCCCATGGGAGAGAGTCAGCAGGGGCTGTGTCAGTTCCACCCTGCTTTCTGGCAGTGCAGCCGGCCTCTGTGGAAGAGGTTAACTGCGGTAGTTACCAAGGACTAATGTTCGGAACGACCCAATGAGGTGGGAAACACTGCGACCCCTGTGAGGAAACAGAGGCACCGAGAGGTTAGAAGCCCCCCAAGGCCACGCAGCCGTAAGTAGCTACTCCAAGACCAGCTTCCGAAGCAGAAGCGGCATCTGCATTCAGGGAAGAAGGGAATGTTTAGCGCTAACGTGAAGGGAATCAATGGGTGATGTGAAGACGAGCCCCAAACCCAGAATGGTGATCATTCCAGGCAGACTCTTCCAGAAACTCAGTCGGTTTAACATTTACACATCAAGCAACGTACTACACCCCATTAGCAGAATTAGGAAGAAAATCACATGATCATTTCAATAGATGGCAGGAAAAGTGTTTTTTAAGATTCAAAACTTACTTTGAATAAAAGTCTTAGCAACCTAGGAACAGAAGCAGACATCCCTGATCTGATCAAAGGAAGAATGGTGAGCTGACTCACGGCCCCCAAAGACGTCCGTGCCCTAGTCCACAGCCTGTGACTGTGTTCCCTTATATAGAAAGGGGGTTTTGCAGATGTGATCACGGACCTTGAGACAGGAAGATGGTCCTGGATTACCCACATGGGCCCAATGTAATCACAAGGGGCCCTACAGGACGGAGGCCTGGAACAGCAGCAGGCAGAGTGGCAGCAGAAGCAGAGCTGGGGAGACACCACGGAGACGGGAAGAGGCTGCTCTCGGGGGTAGAGGAGCGCAGGCGCCTCTAGAAGCTGGAAAAGGCGGGAAAGAGATTCTCCCCTGGAGCCCCAGAAGGAGCCAGCTCTGGGGGCACCTTGCTTCCAGCCCTGTAAGATTCATTTTGGACTTCTGATTTCTAGAACCCTAATAAACGTGTGTGTTTTAAACCACGGAGTCTGTGGTAATTTGTTACAGCAGCAATGGGAAACCGATCCATGGAGCCACAAGAAACCGCTAGGTAAAATATTTCCCCCCAGCGTTGGAAACAAGGCATGGATGCCTATCTTGGCAGTGTTGTAATGAGGGTCCTCATGAGGCCATAAGCAAGAAAAAGAATAAAAGGTGTAAGGATTGGAAAGAAAGGGAAAATAATGTCACTCAAGGTGATGAAGTAGAGTAGAAAATCCAAAAAACCTACAAACAAAATGGATACAATTCGATCAATTAGAGATGGTTTGTAGATCTTCTTGTGAAATGAAAAAAAAATGCAGAGAAGATACAGTAAACCTATATCTTCATGACCTTGGGGGTCAGCAAAGAGTTTTAAAACAGGACTTGAAAAGTACTAACCCTAAGGAAGTGATCGGTAAATTGAACTACAAAAGTAGAAACTTTTGTTTATTAAAAGGCACCACCAGGGCTTCCCTGGTGGCGCAGTGGTTGAGAGTCCGCCTGCTGATGCAGGGGACACGGGTTCGTGCCCCGGTCTGGGAGGATCCCACATGCCGCGGAGCGGCTGGGCCCGTGAGCCATGGCCGCTGAGCCTGCGCGTCCAGAGCCTGTGCTCCGCAACGGGAGAGGCCACAGCAGTGAGAGGCCCGCGTACCGCAAAAAAAAAAAAAAAAAAGGCACCACCAAGAGAGGGAAGGCAACCCACACAGTGGGGGAAGGTATTTGCAATACTCAGAACTGGCGAATGATTTGTAATCAGAATATGTAAAGAGGCCCTAGGAATCATTAAAATAAGGAGACAGACAACCCAATAGAAAAGTGGGCCGAAAGCAGGAGGAACAGGTGCTTCACAGCACAGAGTCATCAATGCCCCATAAACATAAGTAATCCCCCTCGCTGGTCACAGGGAACATGAGATACTAATGCACACCCAAAGGACCAGGTAATACAGAAAGGAAGTATGTGTGCCTGGTGTTGGAGAGGTATGGAGCAACTGGAACCCTCACACCTGTTGGTGGGCTGTGAACAGCTACAGTCGCTCTGGAAGATTGTTCAGCAACAACTACGAAAGTTTAGCATCCAGCCAGCAATTCCACTCCTCCCTGTACACCCAGGGGAAACAGCCCCAGAATGGCACACACAAGAATGTTCACAGCGGGGGGCCCTCAAGATGGCAGAGGAGTAGGACGACGTGGAGTTCACCTCTCCCCAGAAACGCATCAAGACTACATCTACGGGGCCTCCCTGGTGGCGCAGTGGTTGAGAATCCACCTGCCAATGCAGGGGACACGGGTTCGAGCCCCAGTCTGAGAGGATCCCACATGCTGCGGAGCAGCTGGGCCCGTGTGCCACACTACTGAGCCTGTACTCTAGAGCCCGCGTGCCACAACTACTGAATCCTGCACGCCTAGAGCCCGTGTGCCACAACTACTGAAGCCTACACACCTAGAGCCCGCGTGCCACAACTACTGAAGCCTGCACGCCTAGAGCCCGCGTGCCACAACTACTGAAGCCTGCACGCCTAGAGCCCGCGTGCCACAACTACTGAAGCCTGCACGCCTAGAGCCTGTGCTCTGCAACAAGAGAAGCCACCCCAGTGAGAAGCCCATGCACCACAATGAAGTGTAGCCCCCACTCACCACAACTAGAGAAAGCCCGTGCCCAGCAACAAAGACCCAATGCAGCCAAAAATAAATAAATAAATAATACATTTTAAAAAAAGGAAAGAAAGAGAAAAGAAATGAGGACAGTCTCAGAGACCTCTGGGACAACATTAAATGCACCAACATTCAAATTATAGGGGTCCCAGAAGAAGAAGAAAAGAGAAAGAGCCCGAGAAAATACTTGAAGAGATTATAGTCAAAAACTTCCCTAACATGAGAAAGGAAATAGTCACCCAAGTCCAGGAAGCATAGAGTCCCATACAGGATAAACCCAAGGAGGAACATGCCAATATACATATTAATCAAACTAACAAAAATTAAATACCAAGAAAAGTATTAAAAGCAACAAATAACATACAAGAGAATCCCCATAAGGTTATCAGCTGATTTTTCAGTGTAAACTCTGCAGGCCAGAAGGGAGTGGCAGGATATCTTTAAAGTGATGAAAGGGAAAAAACTTACAACCAAGATTACTCTACCCAGCAAGGCGCTCATTCAGATTCAACAGAGAAATCAAAAGCTTCACAGACAAGCAAAAGCTAAGAGAATTCAGCACACCAAACCAGCTTTACAACAAATGCTAAAGGAACTTCTCTAGGCAGGAGGAGAAAAAAAGGAGGCCACAAGTAGAAACAAGAAAAGAACAAATGGGAAAGCTCACTGGTAAAGGCAAACA